AGGTGCCAGACAACTTCATTGAATAAACAGCTTAAAACTTGGGGAAGCTGGCAGTTCATGTCTATAATCCAAGTCACTTGGAGGCTAGATCAGGAGGATTGTGGCTCAAGGCCAGTCCAGGCAAATAGTTGGAGAGACCCCCATCTCCAAAATAACCAGAGCAAAATGGACTGGAGGTGTGGCTGACCAGCTTTACAAGAGCAAAGCCCTGAGTTCAAACCCCAGTACCACCAAAAAAAAAAAAAAAAAGCCTTAGGGAGGATAAAGAGAGGCAATAAACAATGGATATAATTAATTAATTAATAGCTTGTTAGAAAGCATTGGGTGCTATTTTAGTTTCCTATGATAATATCAACTGGACTTGATATTCATGCAGTACTTCCTAGGTCCTAAATATTTTGTTCTTTCATTTACTCCACACAACCAACTCATGAGGCAACTACTCCTGTCATCTGCATATGTGATTCATTCACCCAAGATTATGTTATAGGTAAATGGTAGAGCTTGGGTTATTATTGAACAAACTTCTGAATTGATTGAAATAACCCATTCTTCTGTAAGAGTTCTCAAGGAAATGCTCCCAACCATTGAAGGCACTTTGCATGCAAGGCCTTCCTACAGCATTGACTGGAAAAGAGGACTGAAGCATGGAATCAAGCAGGGTGGTCCTTCCATAAAGACAGAAAACATATTTTCTGATTTGAGGATCATTCCTAGTACCCTTCCTACCCTTGGTCAATCCCTGTGGGCATCTCCGTTTTCATACAGCCATCCACAGAGGTAAGGGAGGGAGAAGAGACAGTACAAAGGTGGTTGAGTATAGGCCAAAAGCTCTGTTAAGTGATTTGGTTGGGAAAGAGGCTATGATTGTCATAACTATTACAATGAGGCTAAGATTGGGCACTGACTTCATGATGGCTGACTTGTCAATTCTCTAGAATTTCTATCTAGCACATCAACTACATTAAAAAAAGAAGAAGAAGAAGCAAAGCACACTTCTAATCTTCATAACCCCTCTCCAAGATTGTGTTTATCTTAAACACAGAATGTTGTGGGGGGAATCTTCCTTTTCAGGATTTTTCCAAAGAATGGAAAATGGCTAACCCCATATATAAACCTAGTCAGAGGAGGTTCTTCCCCCTAAATAAGTGGTAGTTTGAGTGAGGAACTAGTTCATGGGTAAACCTCAAGTGGAGACTGCTTTTGTAAACTTCATGTGCGTCTTTCACCACCAATTAGAAAAACTGGATTTCAACAGATTAATTTATTGAACAGAGCTAGCTGGATGATCATTTCTACTGCCCTACAATACTGGGTTTATTTGCTGGCCACAAACCAGTACCTGGGGCACTTACAATGTGGCAATTGTGTTGTATAAGCACTTAACATGCTATACCACTTATAACCCTCACAGCACCCTAGCAGTAGGTGTTGCTATTCCTATTTTACAGATGGCAAACAGAGACTTAGATAAAATAATTTGCTAGCTTCTCAGCTATGTGAGAACAACATCCGCAAGAGTCTGAAGCCTTTAAGCTCTAAGGAACTTTGTGAGTCTACTCTCTCTCCTGAGAGAGTCAGAATTTCAGACCAGGAGGTGATATGATTCAATCCTTTGTTTTATTCATGACAAGTTGAAAGACCTGTCTAAGGACACCGGATGGGTGGTTAGAAGCATATAGCACAAGGCAAAAAAACAAAACAAAACAAAACAAAAAGCCCAGAACTTACAAGTGCATGCATATATACACACACTTATTTTCATAAAGAAAGCAGTAAGAAGATGATTCTGGAATTTTAAAAGTTACTTGAGGTAAATGTGGCAAGTTAATAAATTTAGGGAGCTAGAAAAGAAGAGATTCAATGTAATTGCCAATTAAAAGGGACTGGAGACAAGAGAATCACAAGTTTGAGGCCACCCTGGGCTATGTAGTGACTCCCTATCTCAAAAACCAAAACAAAAGAGTAACAGAAATACATACTTGAAGAAAGTTTGAATGTAGGCTAAGAAAGGAAAATTGGGGAGAAAAAAGATTGTGTGTGTGTGTGTGTGTGTGTGTGTGTGTAGCTCAAAATGATGGTGGGAAGTTAGTAAAATAAAAACCTAATGAAACGGCTGAGGTGTGAGAAAACAAATGCCCAATTAGATAGTATGATACTGGGTTTGCATATCTTGAGAAAAGGAATGGGAGAAGGGGGAACTACTTTTTTTTTTAATTTTTCCATTTCATGCAAGCTAAAAATCTTGAGTGCTTAACTTTTGAAAGTTGGTTTACTGTTTTATTTTACTGAACAAACAAGACAAAATAGTTATCTGAATTTCTACATGGTTCCACAAGAACTTAAATTACAAGTAGTACAAAATATTCTTTTCAATGTTTACTACAGGCAAAAAGTTCCCCTAAAATTTTGATGAAAGCTGAACATGAATTCGGCAGCCACAGGCCTTCTAACTTTCTGGGAGTGCACCCCAGGGGAGCCTGGATGTGATGCCTAACCTTATTGGCAGTCCCCTTTACCGTTAGGGTTTCCTGCTGCCTTCCACTACAATGGGTCTGCCTCTTCCTGGTCACCCCATGCCCACACTGGCCCTGCCGGCTGGAGTTACCACTTCTGTGATCTACTCCTTCCTCTCAAAGAGGAGGCCTATCCCTCAGTCCCTCTCTCTATACCATCCCAAAATAATACACTTTGACCTCATGACCCTACTTGTAACAATTCCCATGAAGTCATTTACATTGATCACTACTACTAAGTTTACTACTTCTACGTCTCAGAAGCTTTTGGGTTTTTGGGTTTTTTTCTCTCTCTTATGTAGGAAACACAATGCCTTGCCCAGAATAAAGCATCTCTTTATGTTAGAATTTGGGGCATTTTGGAAAGATAGTATACTTACAGTTATCAGGCCTTGGCCTTATTTCACAAATGCGTACTCTTACACAAGCTGGGTTTTAGCTCAGAATGGTTTCTTGCTCTACCTTGCCTGTCTGGTGAAATTTCTGTTCATGACTCAGTACCTTTCCAAATATAATGTTCATCCAGAAAACTTCCACTCTAGAATCATGTTCAGAGAGGAGCCACCAGCCCCTCAGAAGTTAATGAGCACTTGAAATGTGACTAGTCCAAAGTAAATTGTGCTAAAACACAAATCGAATTTATGAGACCTGGTAAAAAGTGTAAATCATCTCCATAATTGTTACATTGAATACATGTTGAAATGTTCATATTTTGCATGTACTGGGTTAAGGAAAGTAAATTATCAAAACCTATTTCATTTGTCTTTTCCTTTTGGGTGTGTCTACTAGAAAATGTAAAATTATATATGCAGATCATATATAATTCGTGGTTTGCATTAGATTTCTGTGGGCTAGCTCTGCTCTAAAGTCTAAGCCAGTGGACTTGAACTTGCAGAGGAAGTTGGAAAGAAGGGCTCATTTGTGAGTATGTCTGACTATGAAGTGGCTCTTACAAGTGAAATAATTTATGCTGCTGATGTATATCAATGGTATATTCAAGATAACCAAAGAAGAACAAATGTGTTAAGTCTCTGGTTTTCCATTCAAGCAGCATACATCTTTTGTTGATTTTTCTGAAATCTCCATTTCTTTCCCAACCATCCCTAACCCTGAAACAAAAGGAAATACTATGGTGGTATGTGGTCAGTCTCTGAACTGAACTGGAAAACTGTGAGAAAAATAAAAGAGAGAAAGAAGAGGAGGGGGAAGAGAAGGGGAGGAGGGGAGGGGGAGGATGGGAGGGAGAAAAAAGGAAAAAGAAGAGGAGGACAAAGGAAGCTAGTATTAACTGCTTATACAGCGCTAAGCAGTTATACCCAACCAGAATTTCCTAAACTGTCCTCAATGGAACTCAGTGTGCTCTGTGGCAAGTCATAAAATGTTGTGTTGAGGTTGGGGAGAGTAAAGGATGTTCCATGATCAAATCAGATTGGAAAATTCTGGACTAAACAAAGTTAGCCAGTTTTCTTTTTAATCGTAGGACTTTTCAGTCTTTAATATGCTACAAAATATTGGGACAGTTTGAAAGGGAAACACCAAATTCAGTGTTCCCCAACTTACCTGGCCACAGAATTCTGTTTTGAGAAACACCTGTCACCTTCACTAGTTGGTAAAAGTGTCACAGACAATGTCACTTAATACACATTGTGGAGGGAAGAAACTGTGGCTTAGAAAGTTAAGTTACTTGCCCTGCCTTTCAATGTTATACAACAGGTTGTTGCCTGAGCCCAAATTCCCAAATCACATTTACACCAGAGGAAGGAATTAAATGTGGTCAGAATAGTTCTTCATGAAGAGCTCATAATACACATAGAAAAACACCTAAAAATAAGTTAGCTTAGTTATTTCCTCCCACATCTCCCAAGTTCAATGTCTCTCACTTCAGTTCATTTCCTCTTTGGCTCCCTTTGATGAAAGAGATCTCTTGAGAATTTTCCTCATTTGGATCGTTGCTTGCTGTGTATTACTTTGAATTCCCTATGGCATAGCTTAAATATAGCAGGGGCTTCATAGAACTTCCTTAATTTATTAATTACCAACCTACTGGCTTAGCTACCTATGGTTTGTGATGGGTTTTTGTTGTTGTTTGGGTGTTTGTTTTTGCAATTCTGGGAACTGACTCAGAGCCTTGCACTTGCTCTACCACTGGAGCCATACCCTTATCCTGGTTTGTTTTTCAGATAGTCTTGTGCTTTTGCCCAGACTGGCTTCAAACTATGAATCCTTGTCTCCCCTTCCATAGTAGCTGGGATTATAAGTAGGAACCACCACATTCAGCTTGTCTTTTGCCTGGACTGGCTTCAAACTGCAATCCTATTTCCACTTCTCCAGTAGCTGGGATTACTGACATGCATACCCAGCCCGTAGTGTCTTTTTACAGTATCTAAGCAGTACAGAAAAGGTGGCTCTTGGTTCAGAGAAACCATGTGTTCACATAAGCTGCCAACTCAGCTTCAAATTGCTTGCCGTTGGGCACCAACATACCTGCAAAATGCAACTCGTGATATCAGATGCGATTTTCGAGTAAGGAGTGTCTTCATCTTTCCCCAAGGCTCTCAGGTTGTGTTCCAGGCAGGAGTCCCAGAGCCCCACGAGGGACTTGGCATGCTTTTCAATGGACCCCGTCTCTCTGATGGCTGTTGTGATTCTTGTGATACAGATTTCAACCACTGCCTGGTCATTGTTATTGGTTTGGTAGTCCTAGTTGGGAAGAAAACGCTCATGTTAAATAATATTCTAGGATGTTATCCTTCCAAGGGGGAAATACTAGCTCGGTTATGTAGAAAATGGGTGTGCCATGCTGGGTGTTAAGGGGTGAGGCTGTAAGGCCCAATACTATAGGGTCCTTCTTCCTTACAGATTGTGATCTTGTGGAAGAGGCCGACAGGCAAGTATGTCACACTAGAGCAGGGTCCTGCTGTCACCAGTAGAAGGACTCAGTGAAAGGCTAAAAGAGCTTAACAATTCGCTTGCAAGTGAGTTTAATCTTCAGGCTGTTTGAGTTTCTAAGACCATCTGATCTTTCAACAATACTTATGAAAAATTTCAAATTACTTTCCATTTTCCCCTCATTAGCTTTCTCTTGTTCCAGACACACATCATTTAATTTCTCCCTTTTCAATACAAATAACTACCAAACCCAGGTTAGCTTTCCACAACCAAAACTCCCCCCATTCCCTTATTTTAATTATCTCTCAAATACCTCACCATCATTCCTGAGGGACAATATAACACTTCAAATTTGTAAAAAGAAAAAAAAATTGCTTTACGCTGGCAAATTCATCCGACTAAACTCCACATGGTTAACTCCCAAAACTGAAAAGGTAACAGAGCAACAAAATGTCTCCATCACTGCATTTTATGTGCACTAGACAAGGGGGGTGATGGGGTTTTTCTCTCCAGCTGCAAACCCCACTTAATTGTTTTTCTATTTTTAACTACTATACATAATAGGATAGTAAACGCCTTGCACATGAATCTCTGTCTACATTGTAGATTATCTGTAGTCTAGAGTCTCCAGAAGTAGAATTTCTGAAACAAAGGGCAGGAATATTTTTAAGGCCAAAATGTTCCAGAAAGGTCTTGCTAATTTATCCTGTCAGCTGGGTGAAAGCATGAGCTCATTGTGCCTTTGTAAGAACAAAGAATTTTTAATATTTCTCATTTGATCAGTCAAAAACAATATGTTGTTACTGGATTACTTAGGAATTTCCTTTACCCAAAGTGAAGATGAGTATTTTCATGTCTTTTTTGGCTATTTGTATTTCCTCCTCCTTTAAGAATTATGTACTATGTCCTAAGTCTGTTTTTCCTTTTCAGACTTCATTTTCTTTTTGATTCTTCTTTGGTGCGATATCTTTTTCTCTTAAAGATATTAAGTTAACATTTGGGTTGTAAATATGTCTGCATGCTTTAATTATTCTATTATTGTCATTATAAGGGCTTTTTTGTGGCTATTTATTAATAGCCACAAAGAATTTAGGCAGTGAGCTCTATCAATCTTTTGTGGTTTCATTGTTTTTCTCTTTTTAAATTGGAATAAGTTGTTTAATTTTTTTATTGATTTAAAAGGTAGATATGGTATAAAAATTCAAAAGATGCAAAAAAAAAATGCAGTGAAAAGTGAGAGCCCCTGTACCCTTGTTTCTCATCCCCCCAGTTCCCTTCCCCAGGAGAACTCTGCTCGCTGACTCCTCACAGCTCATAGAGGCATTCTAAGCACATCCAGAGACCACCTATGCAGTCTCGTTCTCTCTGTCATTCCTTTAACAGTTCTTTTTTTTTTTACTTCAAGTTTTCTTTATTGAAAAAGTCTAATAAAAATCCAATAAAAGTCCTCCTGTATTTTTTCTAAATTTATATTTTAAAAAGACCAAATATTCCATTTGTTATTTTAGAAATTAATCTTTTAACCATTCACTGATCTCTTAAATCTATCTGGTATTTACAGAAGTAAGTAAAGGTCAACATTTTCTTCTAAATAGCTAATCTCATTTTGCCACCATAATTTATTGAAAACTCCATTTCTTGGGTTGGAGGTATAGTTCAGGAGTAGAGTGCTTTTTTAGTATGTCCTGGGTTCAATTCCTAGCACAATCTCACACACACACACAAGAAAAGGAAAATTCATTTCCTAGTAATTTTTTTATATGAATTCAGTTCTATTGCAGGATTTTTAAAATTTCCTTTTTTTGTTTTTGAATTCTTTTACATTACTAATTTGCCACTTTCTTTACATAATCTCAGGTTTTTAAAGGAACTTCATAATGTATTGTGTCTTTTTGCTATTGCTGTTAACAAAATTTTTGTGTTTTTTTTCCTCACTAGGACTTTTATTATTGTTCACTAAGTGAGCCTATTTTTTAAAATTTATTCTGTAACCAACTGTGTAGCTCAATTTTTATTATTATTATTATTTTTGTGTGTGTGTGGCACTGGTGGTTGAACTCAGGGCCTCTTATTTGCTCTACCACGTGAGCTCTGCCCCAACCCTTTTTTTTTCTTTAATTATTTTGGGGACAGGGCCTCATGTTTTTGCTGGGGTTAGCCTGGACTGCAAGCCTCCTATTTATGCTTCCTGCATAACTGGAATGACAGATGTGTGTCACTGCACCCAACTACTGGTTAAGTTGGGGGTCTTACACCTTTTTCCCTGGGCTAGCCTAAAACTGCATTCTTCCCAATCTCTGCCTCCTTAGTACCTAGAATTATGGTTCAACTATTCTTAATTATGGGAAAATTTCAGATTATTCTCTTGGGTTTTCTGCAGCCTGAGGTCTGTATCTTTTATATATGTCAAGACTTATTATGTTGTCTAGAATTTCTTACTAGTTCACATAAAAGTGATCAGAGCAAGAATATTGGTTTAGTTCCTGATTTTTTATATAAGATTTTATAGTCCAATCCAAGAAAATTCAGTAAATGTTTTAAATCATATAGGATGCATCACTTTCTTCCTATTTTCAAAGTTTATATATTTGATTTAATTTCTCTAATAAGCATTATGTTGGCTTTCTTCAGTGAGATGGATACTTTATAGCATTATAACTTATAAATAATTTATAATGTTGAGTAACAGTCTATTCTTAGTTTACTGAGTTTACTTTTTAATCAAGAATGAATAGTTAATTTAATGCCTTTTTAGAATCTGTAGATATTATTTTTGTCCTTAAGGATATCATTTTGACAAACCATAGAAACAAATTGCCCAATATCAGTCAACTTTGCACTCCTGGAATATATGTTACTGGATCCTGGTGAATAATTTTTAATGTGCTGCTAGGTTCTGATTTTAGTGTTTAAATTTTTACATCAATATTTGGTCTTTATGTCTGTCAGATTTCATAGCAGTGTTAAATCACCTCTCACAGTATTCAGCAAAAAAGGATTGCTTTTGATTCAGCAGTTTTCTCAATCTATGTATCTTTTCCTGTATTTTAGTAGGTAAATTTGACTAGTGAAAAAGAAAAACTGCCTATTTATTAGGTTTGAATATGTAATATGGCTTTGCTTCAAAGTTCTTTACTTTAAATTTTCAACCAAAGCTGTTTCACTCTAAGCTGTTTCACTCTTTCTTCCCATCCAGGGCAAAGCCACTCATTTCCTCAGCTGTTGGTTCATAGTTGAGTCAGCCTGCAGAAACTGTCCTTGGTCAAAGGAAATGGACTCAGTCAATAGTTCGTTCTTCTCTTGGACTGCCTGCAACCCCTGACTAGTCCATGTAGGGACAAGAAGGCCTGTTCATCTGTCTCTGATTGATTCTGATTCTGTTCAGAGCTTCCTGAGGGATTGAGGCCAATTTTTTTTTTACAACTGCATCACAGTTCATCTTCTCCCTCTGCCCAATTCTGCTCCATTCACTCCCCTACAGATGCTGATTCTGAGACCATACCCTCCCCTATGAACTTCCTACAAGGTAATTGGCATTTCAGTCTGGTTTTCTAGGCTCCAATCAAAACAAGGTTTACACTGATGGTGACGAGAAATATACTCAATCATATCCAAGTAACAGATAAACAGTAAATGGCAAAGAGATTTTGAATTAGATGAAACAAGCCCGAATGAAAGTCAATGAAAATATGTGACATACGTAAGTCTTAGTTCATGAACACCAAGACTCAACTCTTCCATGCCATGCTTAGGAAAGTGCTGAATTACCAGAGAAATTTTGAAATGAGGCTGGTGTTTGCAGGAGAGTATCAGTGAGTTTGTTGAACATCTGGCATGCATTCTAAGATTTTTAACTGGAAAAGTTAAGTGGCTATCTGTAAGGGACTTCACACTGGTCACATAACTTACAGCTTTATAATACATATAGTATTATATTAGGTCTACTTACATCATTTATGAACCTCGATATTCTGCGAATCTCTTAAAGCTAAGAATTGCTTGCTCTTTCTTTTTCTTCCTTTCTTTCTTTGGCAGTACTAGGGATTGAACTCAGGTCTTGTGCTTGCTAGGGTGGTTCTCTATCACTTGAGCCAGCCCTTTTTGCATTGGTTCTCTTTGAGATAGGGTCTCCTTTTATGCCTGAGCCTTCCTGGACTTCAGCCTTCCTATCTGAGCTTTCGAATATGGCTGGGGTGACAGGTGTGCACCAAGGTAAGAATTTCTTAGCACTAAAAAAGAAGAGACTTATGAACTTGAAAATTTTTGTATAATGAAATTCTATATATGATATGAAGAAAAAATATTCTTCCCCTAAAAGATTGTCCCCAGAATGGGGGAAAAACTCTGCATAGTAGATAACTGCTTCTTTTGACAACTATTCAAAAAAGACAAAGGGTTATGGTGGCACATGCTTGTAAGCTCAGCACTTGGGAGGCAGAGATAAGAGGATCAAGAGTTTGAGCTTGATCTATATACAGTCCAAAGTTAGCCTGGGCTACATAGTGAGACCCTATCTCAAAAGCAAAACAAAATGACAAAAAAAAAGGGACAAAAAATTTTAGCCTGTTTTAATGATGTCATTGAATGCTTTAAAGCTTTTTGGTGCAGTTAAATCCTTTGCAATTAGGATTTTTCTGATTCACATTCAACAGTCCCTGTTCATATGAAATATTTATGTGTGCATGTGTTTATCTTTGACCATGACATTGGGTCAGTATCTCTGCATATTCTGATAACCAGAATATACAGGGAACTTAAAAAACTAAATTCTCCCAAAACTAATGAACCAATAAAGAAATGGGCACGTGAAC